AACTTCTTTGTGTTCCGAGATTTCGCCTATTATCTATGGGAGGTAGATCTTTCTCTGCTATGGCTCCCAAACTTTGGAACACATTGCCCCTGGCTCTCCGGACAATAACCACACTCCACGAATTTAAGTCTAAACTCAAAACCTATATGTTCCACCAATATTACCTGTTATAATGTCATGTTAATGTTACCTGTTATAATGTTTTTTTTATTTTTTATGATACTGTATTATTACTGTGGTATGCAACTGCAACCACATGTTCTGGACTTGGAAAATGTCTTGTCCATGTATGTAGGAATGTAATTGCTTCTGTCATTGTGCAGTGTCCTTGAGCTTGGGAAAGGTGCTATATAAATTAAACTTATTATTATTATTATTATATAAACAACTCTCTGGAAAACTTGATACTGATTGGTTAGTTTTATCATTCAGCCATCAGTTATCTCCCAATGTTCACCGCTGTCCATGGCAACACTGTATATTGGACACCGGCCTGATTATTAGTAGTACCACTGCTTTCACTGCTTTCATACAAACACAACTGAACCATCCTGTGTCTCAGTAATGGACTGTCGTGAAAAAGGACGTCAGACTATGAAGTGCCAACAGCAGCTCAGAGAACCAGCACAGCTGAACTTTCTATAAAATCCTCATCACAAGCATTCATTTTCTTAAGGATAATTATGCTAGTATTAAATGAGTCATTTATCATTTTATTTGTAGCAGTTGTTTGTCTATGTTTGGTTAAACACAGTAATGCTGAATGTGTCGCTCTGTATCGTCTCTCTCTCAGTGATTGTGATTGCTGTCTGCGCTTCATTCGCTCTTCTCCTTCCTGCTCTGATTCTTTGGCTGATGATTCGTAAAAAAAGAGCCGGTGAGTTTTTAAACTGATTTAAAAGTAATGTTTTCTCGACTCTTTCAGAAATGGATTGTCATCTGCATTAGAGACTGTATTGAGTGTTTGATCGTAACTGTTCCCATGCATTATTTTTCAGCTGTCAGAAGAGCGACTGATGACTCTGTGGTGAGTTTTGTTGGTTGATCATGAGCTGTTAGTGTTCATGAGCTCCACAGAGGACGGACTCTGAAATATCACACTCTTATTACTCACATTAGATCGTGACAAGTATATTTCTACTGTTTCTGCTCTAAAGCTCAGCGATAGAAATAAATAGAATGGAACCAAACACACAATCAACACTTCCATTCATCCTGCACCCAGTGAACAATATGATTCATCTTCAATAATTTGTGTATATTTGAGAGTTACTCTGGTCATTTTCCTGTCATGTTACAGTAGGATCTGTCATCATAACATCATGTGTAATAGATTTTCACTAAAATTGCCACAAGACTCCTGTTTCACCTAAACGTTTGCAGCAGCTGTGTAAAATAATGAGCCTGCTTTACACAGTAGTGATGGATGGGCCTTTAAATGCTTGATTTGCTGTATTTTCACTGATGTTTAGGAGCAGACAGATGATGTGACTTATACTGAAGTCTCTTCTTCCAGTAAAAAGCCAGTACAATCGCTCAAATTTATAAAGAATATCTCTTTGGATTTGAGACTTTAGTCTTTGCAACTTTACAGATCTTCTTTATGCACCAAGAGCTTGTAACACTCCAAAGAGAAAGGGAAAAATTGAAATCGCATCATATGACCCCTTTAAATGTTAACATCACTCTGCACACGACGTAATAGCGATCCTCCAGCACGCCAAAACAATTTTAAAAAATGCAGTTTAGTAAGTGAGGATGCCAAGGAATAATTCTGTAAAAGTAGGCTACGTCAAATAATTATTACAATAAGTTAGGCTTTAAAATGATACACATTTATTATTCACAATATGGAAAGAGAAAATAAAACAGTTCGTTAAGAGCATGACTCAAACACGCCATTAATAGGTTATTCAAGTCCTCTTTTATTTTTTGTTATTTTTTTATCCATTCCGCATCTCCAGGAATTGTAGGTGGGGGGAGTGAATGTACAGCACTCTCTTCCACCTTCAATATTCAGATTCAGTCGTGGACTGAGGTGCCCTTGAGCAAGTCAAGCACGTCACGTCACTTTCACTTTCACAATATGGAAAGAGGAAATAAAACGTAGTTTGTTAAGAGCATGACTCAAACATGCCATTAATGGGCTTATTCAAGACTTATTTTTATCCATTCCGCATCTCCCACATATTTTTGTTTTTAGCAAAGTTAGCAAGTTGGTGAATGAAGATACTTGCAAGGTTATGTGTCACTACTCTGCTTTATTAATTTATCCAGTGTAAAACCCGGACACCGCGACACAAATGTGGCTTTTTGTTAATGACTGTCCTACTACAGGATTTAACACAGAGTAACA